TTAGACGATGATTTGGCTTTTGTCAGAGGAAATAGACGGTTCTGTTCAGTTTTGTAACCTTTACCATCAACTACGTATCCAAGACATTCAAAATGAGAGACAGAAAATAAACACTTTTAGGATTAACGGCAACATTCTTATCAGAACATCTACGAAAAAGTAATTATGAGAGGACTTCTCAGGAGCATGGACAATAATGTTATTTCGATATATTTCAACAATAGACATACCACTAGTAATGTCATTCATAACTAGTTGAAATATGGCAGGAAAAATGGACAAACCAAACGGTAAAAACTTGTATCCGTACAAACTAAAGGGGGCATTACCTCAAAGTTGCTTACAAACTCGCTCCATCCAACCCGCGCTAAATGAAGTAAACATGTGCAATCGAATACTTCAAGATAACGAATATCTTCCACGCGCAAATTTAAGGTCTCGCAACCATAGAGCAGAACTGGTCGCACACTGGCGCAGTATACACGACGTTTCAGTTTCATCGAAACATCGCGTCTGCACCAAAGGTGTTTCAGTCCTGCGTAAGCTGCTCGAGCCTTGGAAATGCGGGCGGTTACTTCATTGACTATACTACCATCATTTGAAACGTAGGCGAAACATTCAACTACAGCTAATTCTCGACCATCAAACATCAGCGTTGGGATAGACGACTTCCAGTCTTGTAGCATCACTTTGCACTTTGAAGGTGTAAAACGCATGCCGAAAGGAGTTACAGAATCTAATAGTCTGTCAAGAGCGCTTTGCGCATCCACCATCCACTCGAACAGGCAAACAATATCGTCAGCGCGCTCTACATGGCACAGCTTTTCTCCTGCTGCGCATTTAATACCTACGTTTTGGATACCATTGGGTGCGTTCTCCGGTATTTCGTCTACAACTAAATTGAACAGGAATGGCGAAATAGGGCACCCTTGACGAATACCGCTCCTGGTTTCGAACAACTTACTTAATCCACCGTAGACCCTTGTGCTGCCAGAAGTATACAGGAACAGCGACCGCCATAGATTCACATGCTTCCGTGGCATCTCTTTGCGAAATAGTGACCCCAGAAGAGCTTCACGATCAACTTAATCGAAGACTGCTTTTAGATCAAGGAGCACTGCGATTGTTGACCGATGATATGTGTGACGCAGTTCGCGGACTTGACGCAAAGTGGAGATTTGGTCGATCCGACCACCACCTGGTCGAAATCTGGCTTCCTGTTCGCGGATAATCACCTCTCTTAAGGGTATCAGATGGCGAAGTATCACATAAGTCAGCACTTTTGTGATTATTGGAACTAAACTAATCCCGCGGTGGTTGGCGTAGTCGTTGCGGGATCCCTTCTTGAAGATTGGGACGATCAACGATTTCCCCCGGGAAGACGGATTACACTCCTCCGACCAAATGCTGCGAAGTAAGCTAGTAATCAGATCGACGAGGGAATCACTGCCCACCTTAAAAGGAATGAGGAGAGGCCCATCAGGTTGGGCTGTTTTGCCTTTCTTTAATGATTGAATGTAGCTTCGTACTTCTAATTCTGATGGGGGCTCACACTTTACCACCCATGGAGTTTCCCCCGCAATCGCTGGAATGATCGCATTAGCATTTGATCAATGGAACTGTTCACCGAAATACTCTGCTCAGCGATCAATTCGTTCTTCCTTGTTGCGGATAATCTGTTCATGTTTATCGCAAATGGTCTCACTGACCGCTAGACAATGACATCCGGTGCTGTGTATCAGGTGAAACAATCTTTGACTATTCCCTGATGCAGAAGCTACCTCCATTTCACTGGCTACTTTGTCCCAACAATTTTCGCAATCGTTCTTAAGGCTCTTCCTGAGTTGACGTTGCGGGCGCCACCGGTCCCTATGCCAATCCCGACAGATTGGGATCTTTCGCTTTTGATCCATCTGGATTGCTGACTGACGAGAGATCCAGTGTCTTCGGCGAACTTCCGGCTCGGTCCAACAAGCAAAGTTTACTGCTGAGTGCATCGCAAATCTAATCTGATTCCCCTGTTGGTCTACTTCGCTATGTCGCGGTTCTCCTAGATCCTGTCCCAGCATCTCATAACGTACGCAGACAGCTGGATCGCACAGACGACGATGACCTAATTGAGGAGTCAATTTCTACTGATGAGTCGAAGAGTGAAGCGCAACAGAATTAGTGCATGATCCGACTCAACGCAGATGGTCCAATAAGACGTGCAATTTTGTACCGAACCACGCTAACCGTAGCTTATAGCTATGTGGTCAACTTGGGTCAACGTTTCCGTTGAACTGGAACACCATGAACCGTGTCGAAAGTTGGTGCTAGATAAGAACAGCTGGTGATCTGCGCAGAACTGAAGTAGTCGATCACCGGGCAAAGTGCCCTGCTAGACAAGCTTCGGATGCACTCAGTTTTCCAAAACCTTCTCGTTCAAATCACCTGCCAGTACTGTGGTATCAGAGCTGCGGCTCAACCGAATCAGTTCGGCGAGTTCGTCGTAAAATCCGTCCTATTTGTGAAGCAGTTGTTTGATGCATATGCAGAAATGATGAACATACACCTTTTGGTGTTCCTACCCTTCCGCACATTAACTGAACCCTGTAGCCCCATTGCGCATAAAGGAATATTGACGGGAATCTAATCTATCCTAAAGGCTTCAGCTTTATCGTACGATACCTACAACACGCTGATCGAGTGGGCGGACTTTGTCGTCTCCCGATTTGCGAAGGAAATACCTCGAGGACAGACTCGGCGCACTCAGGTGGCTTATAATACTAGGATCCTGAATTCGTGTCTCCGATACGCATCAGACGTCGATTTCTAGGGACTCCATTGTACGCGTAAGACACGCCTGGTGACCCACCTGCATAAGAGTCCTCACGTTGAAATCCCCCAGATTGAGAGGTTGACTGGGCTTCAGAATCTGCACTTTNCTGCACTTTATTTACAGGAAAACTAGTTACATTGTTATTTGGCAACGACCTTTGGCAAAAAGCGACCAAGTTGTCTAAGGGAATGTCACGGGTCGGAGAGGACTATGAGACTGGACGTTGTCTAACCATTGACCTTCTTGGCATGATTATATCTTTGGCCCGACAAAGCTTCCGTACTGCGACACAGACTGAATGTGACTAGTTTTGCCACACTTGTGACATG